CTCAGGTCCACCCTTTCTACACATCCCACAAACCCAAGGACACCTACACTGACCTCCTTTGGTGCCCCCTTCTTCTCAACTCCAGCTACAGAGATGGTCCTAGTCTGGACCTTACACTCGGGGGTTATCAGCCTGGGCCCCCACCAGACCCACCCAACAGGGTCTCAGAAGGGGGCATCTGAGATGTCAATTTATGAAATCTTTCCTGTGAGTTCTCGAGTCCACTCTGGGATCAAGAATCACTGCTTCGGAAGACCATGTTCTCTCTTGTGCTTGGGGAGTCTTCTTTCGCTGCTCAGACCTCCAGCTCACAAAGATCACCTGCCTAGACCACCTGCCTCGAAGCAGGCCTCATGAGGCACACCTTTCAAACGCAGGTTCACTGACCCACTGACCTGGCGAGACAGTGGATCACACCTATGTGCTGACTTCACTGGCCACCTCTTGACAGTCATGGAGCTGGACCTGAGCAGGTGCAGGTAGGTAATGACTGACGTTCAGGGCTCCTGTGACCTGTGTCTCTGGGTAGGAATACCACAGGCCAACTTCATTCCAGAATCCTATTCCTTTAGTAACCAGAGTCAGAAGGTGCGCGGAGAGCTTAAGGGCAATGACACCTGGCAGCACATGGCATTGCCTGGCTTACAGAGCAGTCTCATCTCCATTATCCTACTTGGTTTTCCCACACCCTGAGAAGTGGGCAGAGAAGATAGGACTGTCCAGAGTAAAGGACTTAACTAAAAACCACCAGAATGTCACAGCAGGGCCAGGACTAAAACCAGCTCCTCTCTAGGTTAGGCCTCTTCCACCTGGACACACTCCCTTCCCCTTTTCATCTACCTGTACCTACCCTGCAAGTGAGAGCTCCAGGAATGAAGGCCTAGCCCATGGGTCGGGGTGTGCCCTCTGCAGTGGATACGCTCAGGGACAGGAGCAAGGGAGGATGGTTATGTATAGCATTGTCATCTCCTGACTCCTAACAGTGGCTAGAGATGAAGGCTAATAAGGCAGCTCCTTTGGAAGCTCCAGAAGACTGTCCGTGCCTGGGAGGGCAAGCCATGCCCTCAGGGAGCACTCAGGGGCAGAGGCAGATCCAAACCCCGTGGGTACACTGCTCCGGCTAGGACCTGGCTGCCAGAGACTGTCCCAGAACCTGGGACCTTTCCTTGGGCACCCATACCGGATACTGTAGCCCTTAAGTTTCTAACAGACAGGTAAGGGGCCTGCCTGTGCCAGGTTCCCCCTAGAAACTGCCAATCTCAGCCCCTCCAGCATCCCAGAGACCAACATCAGCTCGTGATAGTTTAGGCTCCACAGCACAGAGATGGCTTGCAGAGGACCATATCTTGGCCTCCCTGCCCAGAGACAATTAGGCTATAGGGAATCAATTTAGCCATCAGCCTGAGCAGGGAAGGTGCAGTGTGGGTAAGGACAAAGCCGGGATTTCTCATTAATCCACTGTGCCATGAGCATGAAACTTGAACTGGGGACAGATGGCCATTTTCCTAGTAATTAACAATTTCATAGAGACAAATGCGTGATGGGGTCAGAGTCACTGGCGAGGTCAGCTGTCTGCTGGGATTCTCTGCCTGATGGGTCCAACCTGTGTGTGCAGAAAGGGTGAGTCGGGAACAGGCCTTAGACCATGGAGCCCTCGGGAACATGTGTGAGCTGCTTGCCCCACATTCCTCTCCCCACAGCTTCCTCTGCTTGCCCCCATCCCCTTCCCTTCCTCCTGCCTCACAGCAGCAACAACTCTGGGCCAGGACCACTCTTCCCTGGCTGGGCTGCCTAACTGGTCTCCAGGTGCTTCTGCACAACCAAGCGACTGGTCACCATGACTCTGACAGGAGGGGGTTCAGCAGACGCAAAGTGAAAGTCAGGAGAAGCCCCTGCCATCGTGAAAGTCTGTCGTGCCAGAACAATAATATAAAGAATATTCTTTCTACCAACCTGTAGATTTCTACCAACCCATGCAAAGGCTCACACTCAAATATCCAGTAAAGATCATTTATCAGATCCACATTTCTGTGAATCACAGAATCACCCAGGCTTTGCCAGTCTGGCTCCAGGGCATCAGTTCTCAGGACTGTGTTGGGAGAGAGTAACTTGCCTTTTTCTCCAGGAGAGCTGATGGAGGCTCCCTGTTTCTCACTCACAATTCCCTGGCATCCACTATGCCCCATGCTCATGAGCATTGCCTGTAGTGCCCCAGGAGTGCTGTGAATGGCCATGGTGCCTACCTGACAGCTTGAACATCCCTTGAAGACACACCATGGCCCCAGTCACAAATCTACCCACATGCACTTCCCATCTCAAACCAAAGGGTACAGAGCTCCCCAAGATAACCATCTGTGCCCATTGTCTCTGCACCTCCGGGGGAGAACCTGCCCTCAGCCCTGGGAAGGGAGGTCTGGCTCAACCATCAAGGTTACCAGCAAAGATGCAGAGATGCAGCTTAAGGTGGTGGTGACAGGATAAAAGGGGGTTTTTCAGGGTCTAGGTCACTGAGCTCAGCCAGGCTGCTGGGCAGCAGGACCTATGATGCTGCCTGATTCCTCTCCACTCTTGGAAATGCCACCAAAATGTGGCTGCCTATGCCACTGAAATGGCACCCTGGGCTCCCCATTTCCTCCACATGCCAATGAGTTTGCGAGGAGCAGTTCGTAAAGTCAAGCCAGGTTCACAATAGCTTTGGATTAGGAATGTACCCCAAAAGTCCAGAGAGGGTTGGAGGTGGGAGGGAAATTGGAAAGAAACCATTTGGATTTAAATATTTGTCTCCCCGGGCCTTCCCAGGACAACCACTGACAAGCAGCACGGACAGCAGAACTCCCCAAAAGAGAAAAGTTCCAATTAGCCCAAAGAAATGAGCCTGTTCCCAGAGTCCCAATTAAATCAGAACCAATCAATGCTTGCTCAGGTTCCTGCCATTTTGCCCAGGAAATAATCAGAAAAACAAGAGGGCCCAGCCAGCAAGTGTGGCGTGGCAGCCCTTTGAAGCCTGGAGACATCACCCACACTGTTGCAAGCTGCTGCACCTGCCCCTTTAAGAATTCAGCCTGGTGCCTGGGTCCCTACTCAGACCCTGACAAATGCCAAAGAGGGCACCTCCCGCCCCTCCTCCAACCAATGGGACAAAGAGGAGCGCTGTGGGACCAGGCCAGGCTGGTTTTAAAACTGTCTGCATTGATTCATCGCTTGATCTGGCATTCTCTCCCCTCTGCTTCCACACCATCCATCATGGGTACCATAACCAAGAAATCCAATAAAGACACAAAGGCGCAGCTCTCCTCTCTCAGCAGGCCTTAGAAAGGCTGTGTGGGGGCCCCAGCCCAGCCAATTAGCTGAGTCCAAAGGATCACAGAGCTGATGGGCATTAGCAATCCTGTCTGTGCCTGGCACTTCGCCTGCAGGTGCTTGGGGAGCAAGGTGAGTGAGGAAGAAACACAAGGGACGGCCGGGTGCTCAGATGGGATGGGAGGATGCCAGGGAAGACAGCTGGCATGAGGCTCATGTTAAAGAAAGAGGAGCTCCTATAGACCCCCTCCTCCAAGATGCCCCAAAGGACTAAGGCCGCTGAGTGATGGGTTATGGTCAAGGTGGTCATTTTTGAGGTCCATGTAGGAGGCCTTGCTCTTGAAAGAGTCTGAAACTTTGAAGGCCACAAAGGAAACTTAATAAAGGAAAGCGGAAACGAGTTAAGTCGGCTCACGTGAATTGCGCGTACTCCGCGGGAGCCGTCTTAAACTCGGTTCATATAGATTTGCGGTGGAGTGCGGGAAACGTGTAAACTCGGGCCGATTGTAACTGCGTATTACCAAATATTTCATTTCAATCGAACCCATACTTCAAAAGATATAGGCATTTTAACGCGCCATCTTATATTTTGGCGGGAAATTCACCCGCAACCCAAGTGTTAATAAAGGAAAGCAGTTTTCTCTTCCCCAACTCTCTCCCCCAAGTTCAGCTTCAATGCAGTTGGGCTGTGCACTCTCGACCAGCGGTCACCAACCTTTCAGACCTCACGGACCACCAGTGGTCTGCGGACCACCGGTTGGCGACCGCTGCTCTAGACCAAGCATGTCAAACTCGCATCCTGTGGGCTGCATGCCTCATTTATTTGGCCTGTGTTAGCCTTTGAGTTTGACATGCTTGCTCTAGACTCTTCTGTTTACTCCCAGAGAAGAGTGAGTTGAGATCCAGCTCAGCACACTGATTGCCACCTATTGGACATGTACTCCTTCGGACTGAGCACACAGTACCATGACCCCCACAAACTGCAAAGTCTGCATCACTCTGTAACATTCAGAAGCAAAGGTAATTCAACTCATGATAGCATCTCACCCCCATTCCAATAGGTTCATCTCCTTCTAGGACACGCCAAAACTAGGCCCATCCCTGCCCCAGGGCCTGGCACTGAGCCCCTGGAGGAAGACAGCCAAGCCAGAGGGCTTTGAGTTAATGAGCTACATGGGTTCAGTACCAAGTTGAGTGCTGTGGGAGCTGGACTGAAATAAACTAAAATATTTTCCAAATTCAATCACCTCTCAATTACCCTTGAGTGAACTGCCCATGACAACCCAAATCCCAAATTCTCTATGCCTCAGAGCATGGAGCTGGACATGCAGGGGTATGTGTGTGTGTGTGTGTGTGTGTGTGAGAGAGAGAGAGAGAGAGAGAGAGAGAGAGAGAGAGAGAGAGAGAGAGAATATGTCAATGTCCCAAAACTAGATACAACTGATGGTTAAGTTATTATCCACCATTTAGAATTCTTCCCATCTCTTCCCCTACCATTAATATGGACATTCTGGTTGGACACCATTAGAAAATCATCAGGCCTAGCACAGGGGATGAAGGTTACCCAGAGCTTTATAATATAAGAGCCATTGGGCTATTCTGTTCCTGTATAATCCAGAGCTCGAGGTGGGAAACCTTGCAGACTTGGCCCTGCTCCAGGTGGGCAGGAAGCAGAGGTCTCAAGGGGTCTCAGACCTTACCCTTGCAGGCCATGCTGTTTTCAGCCTCATAGCCAGGCTTGCAGGTACAGCGTCCGATAGGCACCATCCACTCCCCGTCCCCGTTGCAGTAGAGTTTGATGGGTACGTCTACTTCCTCTGCGTTGGGGATGCACATGCCCCGAGCAATCACCAGAGATGTGCTCTCTGCCCCTGTCATGGTCTCTGGGAACACTGCAAAATTTTGCACAATGCTGGGACACTTTTTAAAGAAGACACGGACAGAAAGGAGAGACATGCAGGCTCCGTAATCCTGAAAAGCGAGGTAAAAACCATTTCGAGTAAGAGGCCCAAAGCTCCGGACTTCTGTGTTGACCTTCATCAACCTTCCCCCGAAGTCCACCTGGGAGAAGCTCTCATCTGCAGCAATGGTGTCTACTTTGAGGTAGGGGGCCTCCGACCAGAAGGCTGACTTCTTGGTGGCAATGACAGAGTCAGTTTCATAGTAATACAAGTTGAAGGTCTCTTTGCAGGAGCCTGGGACGTTGGGGAGGCTGCTGCAGTCTCTCACAGTGAATCGCATTTCTGTGTAGATGCGATGGGCCCCCCGCCGGTTGATGAAGGTGGTGAGCAGCCAGTTGTTCTGGTTGGGCTCGAACACGTTGCACACCTGGTAGGTACGGATGGTGTTGAGGTTTTCATCGTAGCCACTGACTTCTTCCCACTGTACCAAGCAGTCCACAGGCACACACATGTAAAAACAGAAAATAGAAAGTGAGAAGACACAGAGAGGCAGTCAGAAGAGAAGCCTGGCAATGGAAGAGGGCCTTAGGAGCTCACCAGTCCACCTGTTTGACATGAGAAATGAACACATCTAACCCTAACCTGCTTTTAAAGGTCTCCTCTAAGTGGGCTTCAGAACACTATGCATCCCATCCCCAAATAGAAAAGATTTTACTCTAGAAAGCCTCCCTTCATCTAACCCACAACTCTCATGCTGTGACGATGGCTTATCACGTCCATGGGGACAATCTGCAGGTTTAGCCCCACATGATGGCAAGGCTTCCAAGCCACAGCCTCTACTCTCAATGGCCACTCTGTATATTAGGAGCATAAGTTCATGACACCCCCACCTTAGAAATCCTAATTTCTGAACCTAATTAATTTATTGTGATGAAGCTTCTTGATATCTCTGAAAAGCATATGTGAAACTTTTCCAAATTTCTCAGAAAACTTAGATTCTCATAAACTTTTGTTTTATAACTTCAACTCTTTGAAATAATTAGATCGACTATAAAACTGGTAAGAGTAGGGGCTGCTGAGAGAGAAAATGTCCTTAATGGAGGAAATTAAGCTTCATTTTGCACACATTTCAAGCAAAGATGTGATGGAAGAGAATATGTTACTTAGGGGGTAAGGAAAGCTTCTTTATAAGGAAGACACGACCAGGCTTTGTGTTGGAAAAGAGAGCTCTCATTTTAGTGCCCTGTAAACTGGAAAAAGAAAAACAATGCATTTATTAAGTGATATCTCTCAATCTTCCCAACAGTTCCCAATAGAACTAGATACTATTATCCTCCGTTTACAGACAAAAATACATCTTATAAGTCATCATGATCACATGACAATAAGAGGCTGTGGGGAGGAGAAGGGATAGAAAGCAATTATTTGAATGGTCAAAGAAATTCTCCAAATAACTTATTTCAGTAACAATCAATAAGGAGGGGGAGGGGTCCATGAGGTCCTGGCTTCATTAACTGAATCACTCAGGGCCAAGGGCCAAAGAAGAGTTGCTGGGCCATTATTTCTTTCTGTGCAGGGAAAGGAAGCAGCTGGGGTCACCCAGGACCCCAATCTCAAGAATTGGGGGTATTCCCGGAAGCTTCAGTGTGTTTGCTAAATAAGGAAACAAGAGGTAGAAGAAATTCAACTTCCTAAAGTGAAAAGAGAAAATAGTTTAAGATCCTTGACTATTTGGCAGTGGTGATAAAAGAAACCAAATTATGTCTATTTCTTTAAACATTGTGTTAATTCCTTATTATATACACTGTGGAGTTGAAATATATAAACTAGGATTCTTCATTAAAAGAGCTAAAAGCCAATGATATGTGTGCGTGGGAAATATACTACAGTAGCATTTTGCACAGAATTAACTGCCTGTAGGAGCAAGAGGGCAGAGGCAAGGCTATCTTTCAAACATGCACCTGTTAGTTACCCCAAGACCAGGCATAGAGAGCTGGCCCTGAACAGCCGGCCAGTATCGTGATCTTGCAGCCACTCCTGTTGCCTGGCCCCTGCCACGGAGGCATCTGAGCTGCAGTCTCTCCAGGGCCTGTCTTCCCCTGCCCCTCCCAGCACCCTCAGGGGGCCAGTTCCCTCCCCACCCTGCAGTCCGTGGTAAGCTCCATCGGGGATCCTTGCACACCACCAAACCTCACGTGGACTTTGCTTAATTTCTTACTGACTCTGTAGATGTCGAGGAACTACTGTTTATTCCTTCTTTAAGACTGTGCGTTATGTTCTATTTAAATGTGTTTGTTAAACTTATGTTCTGCTTGCCTGGTTTTCTGCAACCAGAAAGCAAATACATTAGGGAGAAGAAATAGCTGGCGGTGGTTTTCGTTGAAATTTTTCAGACCTCTCTCCCTTTTCATGGCGGTTTTGAAATCGTTTTCTCGCAGTTGACCCTGCGTGACTTTTGAGGGAAGGACAGGTTTATTTGGCTGCTCTGTAATTGTTTAAACACAGCAGGTCTCACGGTCCATATTTCAGTTGTGCTACATAAGGTCTCAGCAGGAACGTGCGGCGACTCTGTGCGCAGGTGAAGCCCGTGTCCCCCCTTTAGTCTGGGGGCCCTATCCCAGCCAGAATCCTTGACCCACCCAAGACTAATGCAGTTCTGCTGTGTGAGAGCAAGACAGGAAGCCCACCTTCCAGGGCTCACCTTAGCAATGAGAGTGTCACCACCAGTAGGTTTTAAATAGACAGAATGAGGATTTATACTCTTGTGGAGCGGGGATATTGAGAACATTTATCTTAGAAAACGACACTGATTGGTATTATAAGACCCAACAGAGGTAATTGTTTCAAACATTAACCTCTCTGGGCCTCAGTTTTCTCATCTGTAAAATGAGGAGTCATACTGGGTGACCTCGAGTCATAAAATTCTACCGATCTAATTGATTCCATGACAACTCCTAAGGGAGCGATCAAAGCAAATTAGGGGGAATACAGCCGCATATTCACAGGGAAGGAGTAGAGAGAAATTGAGAGAAAGGGAGTAACTCCTTATTGTTTGGAAAAATGCCACCACAGAGTCTCACATTCATTTCTTTCCCTGTTTCATTCTTCTCCTGCCAGCGGGTGCTACTGGGGGTTGCAAAGATAAGCGATCAGATCGGGCTAGAGGAGGTATAAATGCTTTCCAAGCAAGAGGCAATTAGGATCGGGCACACTGAAGAAAGAGGAGATTTGGTAAAGGGAGATGAGGGTGGAAAGGCACTCTCAGCAGGGAGGGACGAAGATTGTTATTTGTTTATGATACTTGGCATCAGTTTCGTTGCTTTATCCCTTCTGCATTCATCAATGGAAAAATATTTACTGAATGCCAACTTTATGCCAGGCATTCCATTAGCCACTGGGGATACAGCAACATGAAGCTTATAATCTAGTGAAGGAAACAGAAATTAGACAAATGTTTATTAAAATAACTAAATAATTACAATTGTGCTAACTGCTGTGAGTGAAAATAACAGGGTGCCAGGAGAGGAAGTGTACCAGATATATGGAGGAATGTCAGGGAAGACCCTCCGAGCGGAGAGGGAATGGATGGGCAGAAGTCAGCCAGGTGTGTCTACGGGGGCAGAGAGGGGCCGAGCAGCTGGGCCTGGGAACAGCAGGTGCAAAGGCTCTGTGATAGGGAAAGGTGCCAATGAAGAATGAAGACTGTCTAACACAGTGGTTCTCAACCTTGGCTCCACATTAGAATCACCTGGGAATCTTTTTA